ACTTAAGTAGCTTCTTCTTTAATAAAGTAGTTTAGCCTTTATAGCTATTAGCTTTTTTACTAGTTTCTAGCTAGTATTTCTTCTTTAACTTTATTTATATATATAAAGAAATATAAGCTTAAAGCTTATTAAAATTTACATAGAAAATATATTATACTATTAGCATGCTATTATATTAAGTTAAATTAAAGGTAAGTGTGCTCTACACACTCTTTAATTACTATAATAAACGTTAAGTCTTTAACACTTTATTAACTTCAATAAATACTTTACTACTTTATAGAGAAAAAAAAATAAATTATTAAAGTAAGTATTTTAAGTAAAGTAAATAGTAAGTTATATAAAATACTTATAGTAACTTTATAGCTAGTAAAGCTTAAAGTAATAACTATATTAATCTTTAAATCTCTTTCTATCTTAATAGAAAATTCTATTCTTTATATATATACTTACTAAGAGCTAGCTGCTAGCTAATTTAATAGCTACTATACTATTAGTATACTATTATTTTAAGTAAAATTAAAGGTAAGTATACTTTATATACCTTTAATTACTATAATAAGTATAAGTCTTTAATATATTATTAGTACTATATAAAGTAGAATTTATAGAAAAAGAAATAACTATTAGCGGAAAATCGCAAGGTTAACTGCACTACGCAAAAGTAGAACGCGCTCTAGCAATTAAAGACGCAAATTAACTTTATATATTACTGCGCAATTGTATAGCGCATACACCCCCCTAAATTATTGTTTTTTTTAGCTAATATACCCCCCTAGCTTTTAGCTCTCTTAGCGCTATAAGCTATATAAGTGCGCTAGAGCTTTGCTGTACTATTATTAAGTAGGTAATTTTTTTTTATTGCTTATAATAGTTATAGTAATAGTTATAGTTATAATTATAGTTATAGTTATTATTATAGAAGGCTCTTATAAAATATAGTTGTATTGTAATAGAGTTCGAACATGCAACTGTAGCAGCAGCACAGGGCCTGCAGCAACTAGGCTCATAACTGTCGGCCAATTAAGGGACCCTTTATATATAGTATAGGTATAATAGATAGAGCTTATGTAATCTAGTTGATTACTAAGCATAAAATAATAGGGATTCTTAAGGTATAATAGAAGTAACTTTAGATATAGTATACAATTGTATGTAATAGTATGTATTAAAGAATATAGTTGTAGAGGCTTGATTTCCTCTCTATCTAGTTAGGGGGAAGAAGGGTTATTTATAAGTAAATCCTATAGTAGGGCTGCCGGATTAGGCATAGATAGTAGCTTAAAATAACCTTAGAGGCTAAAAATAACTCTTGTAGCTGCTTTCCTGCTATAGAGTAGATTAGCCTTTATAGCTTATTAGTCTTTTTGTT